TTATAAGAAATTCAGACTATAGAAAGATCTTGAAATTACTTCTAATTATTTATTAGATTTCTTAAATATATTAGAAAATAAAGAAAAAATAGTAATAATATCAAAATATGAAGAAATGATAAACTAAAATAATATAATATATCATGATTTAATATTTTTTTATAATATACTAATCATTCAATCTATAAAATTCAAATTACTCTGATAATTTAAAATTAAGAATAATATTTATAAATATAGAAAAAATATCTAATCTTACAATTTCATTCTTAATTCTCTTGAAAGATTCTAAAGAAATATTACTAGATGATATTATTAATAATCATATATATTTACAAGAAGTTGAGTAGCCAAATAAAGTTTATTATAGCTTTATAAAATTTATAATAGAATATCAATTATTAAATATCTATGATGATAAAAATAATTAAATAATTTAATATAAATATTAATATAAAAGAAAGTCTTTTATCTAAAAGTATCAAAGAGAATTGTGAGTTTTTTAATAATACTAAATTTTTATATCTTAATTTTAAAGAAGCATCTATAACTAATTTTCAAGAAACAGAATATATTTTTTATTATTAATCAATAATTCAAAGTATTAAAGTTCTTCTACTTTAATTTGGAGTTAGTGATAAATTTACTTTATCATATCAAAAAAAACTAAGATTAAAAATAGTTAGAAATTATAGATTTATAGTAAATAATTTGAGAATGAGTAATAGAAAGAAATAGAATTAACCATACCTCTTGATAACTGATTATTATTAATTATTCTTTATTCTAATATAATAACTTATAATTAATTAAGAAAAATAATAAAATATCTTATATATCTTTCACTTGATAATATTCCTAATTAATAACAAGATAAGTCTTATATAAAAGTACTTATTAAATATTTATCAAAACTAAAGGCTAAAGATATATATACATAAAATACTAAATCATTCTGATAATTATAAAGACAAGTCTTTTAATAGTATTTTTGTATATTATTAATATTTATCTTAGATCAATAAGATATATATTTTATTATAAAGGATCAAATATATATTTTTACATTTAAAATATCAGTTATTCTTATAAATATGACAGAAGCTGAATTATTTATGAGAATATATCTTTCACTAATATTTAAGTAATCTTGTCATACTTATTGTATGACTAATAATAATCTTAATAATATAGTATTATCTAATATAATTCTCTGAATATCAGAAAAAATATAAGCAATAATTAATATAGGATGATCAAAAGAATATTTAATTTATGATGAGAATAATTTCTTATAGAGTTTTGAATTAGTATAAAATCTTTTTAATAATCAATTGACATTAATATTAATCATAATTATTTGATTAATTAATTATATTAGTGATTTTAATATTTATAAAATAATAGTTTCTGATAGAATATATTTGCTTAATTTAAATATTTCAAAATATCTTTTAGAATTTATCTGAATATATATTCAATAAAAAGTAAAAATGATAACTATTAAGAAAATAGATTTATAATTATATGTAATTCTCTAATATCAAGAACTTATAATTATAAAAAATAACTTAGAAAATATATTATAATTTATAACTAATAATTATTATAATATAATAAAGATAATAATTTTTATAATAGATAATTTAGTTATTAAATATAAGTTTTATATAAGAGATTATATGAAATATTCTATAAGTATATGAAAATATATATGAAAACTTATTAAGAATTATTTACTGTAAACTCTCAAATTTAAGCAACTCTTGAGAATAAGTAACCCTTTTTTCTTCAAGTTTAAAAGACTTAAAAAAGTTAAATAAGTAATTCCTTTATCAAAAACTATTATATAATAAATTAATACAAAATTTATAGTATGAAAGTTTGGATTTAGGAGAATAAGAGTATTTGAAGTTACACATAAGGATTCTCGAATTTAAGTAATCTCTACAAAAAATTGATCAAAAAATAATGATATAGAAGATTACTTAAATTTGAGAGTTTATGATACTGATAATAATTTAACTAAATTGGAGATAAGTTAAGTTTTTCTTATATGATTTTAATTATAATAATAAGATATAATGATTATTATTTCATAAATAGATATTGATCATTGATTTCTGTTAAGAATTTATGAGTATATTTACAGATTATTCTCCTAGCTAATATAAAATATCTAAGAATTATGTATTCTAATATTATATTATTTCTATAATTTAATATTATGAAGTAATAAATAAAATATTTATCAAGATCTTTAAGATTCTCTATAGGAAAAATATTAAAAATTCATATTAGATATCTAATAAAAAGAATTATATAACACAAATAATAAAAATAGTAAACTAATATCTATTAATATTTATCAATATATACTAATAATTATTATTATTAATATTTTATTATAGATATAATACAAGCTCTTAGTTATATAAAAAGTACTAATATCATTTATTAAAAAAGATTCTGGTTTTTAAAATCTTTTATAGGAATTATAAATAACTAAAATAAATAAAATAATTTTGAAAAATATTGATATTCATCAACTATATCAAGAAAATTTTAATAATCTTTAAATAAAACTTAAAGAGTTCTTTAGCTTAAATAATAAGTCATATGATTAAGAATTTATATATTTTAAAATATATTCAAGTACTTATATAGAAATAACTAATATTATTCAAGTACCATATTTGTCTCATAATAAGTATGAGTTTTTAAGATATATTTTGAGTTTTAAATCAGTATCATACTTATTTTTGTGATTATTTTTTTTTGAATGATAAATATACTATTACCAATTTTTTTTAGTATAGATTAGTGTAGATTCATGTTAATTCATGTTAATTTCTCTTCTAAAATAATCAATTCTAATAAAAAATCTTACTATTTATATACTGTTTTAAAAAAACTTACTATTATCAATTTTATCATAGAAAAAGATATAATAAATACTATCAGAAAATTTGATATTAATCATTTAATAATATCATATTAGATTAAATATAAAGATAAGTTTACTTTAACAAGTCATAATAATCATAATATAGGATCAGATTAAAAAGTTATCTATCTCGCTGCTGAAGAAAGACTTAAAAATAGATTTTTGAGTTTAGACAAAATGATATCATATTAAATAATATTATAATTAAGTATCAAATAAAATAATTATTGAAAAATAACTTCAAAAATACCTATCCTGATGTATTTAATACTTTTATCACATCTAACTATTGGTTTCATCAATTTCTCAAATATTATAAGCTTTCATTATGTTAATGAACAAAAATCTCCCAGAAGCTTCCTGATGATCTTAATAAAAAGCTTATTTTTTTTTAATAATTTATTATTCATCATCAAGTACAAAATTATTATATTAGACAAATTAGTAATATGAATAAGACATCTATTTTTTTTGATATGATGGGAAATATTACTATTGAAAAAAAAGGTAATAAAACTATAAACATATAAATCACTGGCAATGAAAAAAATTAATTTACTTACATTTTAACTATTTTGACTGATGATATCAAACTTATACTAATAGTTATATTCAAAGGAAAATATCTTCCCAATAATCTTTTCTCAGGAATTATTATTCAAATACAAGAAAAAAGATGGATAAATAAATGAATTATACAATCATGAATGGAAAAAGTTTGGAAAAAAAACCAGATGGGCTTATAAAAAAAAAATCTTTATTAGTGATGGATTCATTTGAGATCTATAAGACAGATTTTGTAAAAAAATAATGCAAAGAGCAAAATACTGACTTGGTAATTATTCTCAGAAATCTTATATCAGTTATATAATTTTTGGATGTTTGTTTAAATAAACCATTTAAAGATCAACTAAGAGAAAAATGATGAAAATAGATGGCTAAAGATGAATATAATTTAACAAAAGAAGAAAATTTAAAAAAATCAGGTCATGATATTATTTATAAATGGATTATTAAGGTATGGAATAATATATCAACTGACATGATTATTAAATCTTTTAAAAAATGTGAAATTTCTAATAATTTAGATGAAACAGAGGATGATAATATTATTGATGATTATAATTCAGATATTGAATATGTACCTGAAGTTGTATTACAGAATGATAATTCAGCCACTAATTCTGATACTAATTAATAAAACATAATATGTGCTTATTTTTGGATGTGCTTATTCTTAAAAATCCTATATTTGAAAACTAAAGATCATTTGTGCTTATTTTCGGAGGTGCTTATTTTAGGGCAAATACGGTATTTTGAAAAGTTAACAATATTACTAATTAGATTTTTATCAACAGGATTGAAAAATTTTATGCCATAGTGCAAAACACTTAAAAATGCCAATAAAAATTAGTCATCTTTAAAAGATAAAGGGTCTTCTATTTTTTAAAAAGGGGTCACTATTTTGTAGTAAATAGGACTAGCTACAAAAAAGCGGCCCCTTTTTAAAAATAATCACTCATTTTTGACTAAAAATTCACTATTCGTACGGGAAGCCTACGGTGAAATGATAAAAAATCATGAACGAAGTGTCAACACAAATAATTCAATTGACATAAAGATCAAATGAAGTTTTTCGTGCAATAGATCAAATCGATAATGAGAAATCTTTTATTCAAAGGAACATCGGCTAATTCCGGTCTTTAATATATTCAATTCTAATATCTGGGGAATCCATAATTTACGCTAAACGGGCAAATAAGGTTCTCTTCCCCCCTATTTCCGCGTTAAATGATTGATACATCCCCTCCCCCTAGCGCAATAAAATGATCATGTGTCGATCCATATACATGTAATATTATCATAAAGTTGCGTTATTTTTATTTTGGAACCTCTCCCCCCCCCCCCCCCCTTCTGGTTATCAAAGAAATTTGTTAACTGGCTTGAAATCTCCAATATTTTTAGTGGTTATTATCAATAATAAAACAATAATTTATTTGATATTTGGTCTTTCGCACCACTTTTATCATCATCATTCTACTAATCCATATTTTTACTTCTCATCTTCATCACTAGCCACAGCCTTGAGTTTTTTCTTTCCCTTTCTCACAACTCTGAATTCTTCTTCCTCTTCATCATCTACATGCGGAGATGAAATTTCATTATCATTATCGTTATCATTGTCAATATCACCATTATCCAACGGTTCGCCTTCCTCCTCCCCAGCCAATTCCTCATGATGCTGTGGTGATTGCAATTCTTCCTCAGGTTCAGGTTCAGGTTCAGGCTCTTTCTCCGGTTCTGGTTCATCGTCATCAAGCAACGGCGGCTCTTCGAGATCTTCATCATCGTCATCTAGATCAAATTCATCTTCCTCAGATTCACTAGCATTTTTTCGCTTTCTTTTAGATGATAATGTGGACTTTGTAGAGGTTCGAGATTTCCCCCGCTTTGGTCGTCGTTCCTCAAGTTCCTCAAAATCGTCATCTGCGACAAATCCAGTTCCATCTTCATATGTATCGTTGTTTCGTATTGCACGGCGTGCAGCACGGTTTTCTTCTTCATTCGAGTCGTATTCGTCTTTATCATATCTGCTGTATCCATCGGATAAGGAACGTGACCTACCGTAATCTCTTCGTGTCCCACCGCCAGTTCTACGCTTAACTCGCGTTATTTTCTCAGCCTAGATGTCAAATTAGTTATTAGACAATAAAGAACACATGCTCAATAACAATTAAGTATAAAATAAAATCCAAAAACCTTTTCCATTTCTTTTTTCACCATTTCAGGATCTTTATCTGTCAGAATTATTTTTGTTCGTTGATGTTTTACATGTCGTGATGCAATCGACGCTGTTACTCTTCGATGTGTAGCGCCACTTGTTGTCGAAGGTCGGAATGCCATTTTATTTTTCAGTTTCATTTGATAAGCCATAGTCGATTTCTCGGTCATTAGATGACTAGACATTAGGTATTCTTGTGAATCCATTGTTTCGTTGATATTTATGTCCAAGATTTCTTCCCCGACTAAGAGAGACATTGAGCCGTCCGACCATTTGACAAAAGCAGCGTTCGATTGCTTTTTCTGTGTGTGCGTATATAACGAGTTTTTTAAACTTTATGCATGATAGTTCTTTTCAGAAAAATGTTACAGAGAAATAATTTACCAGCTCCCCCGTGGATTCATCTTTAACATTACGCCACCGTATAATATTTGCAACATCACCAGCATCTTCGTTCTCGTCATATGTGTGCGGATCAAATTTTTTTGAATTTACTGCTAGGAATGTGGGTAATTTTGCCAAGAATATCTTTAAGATTGGCGAATACATTCCCCGAAATAATAATAATAGAAACCCGGTATTCAATATATAATCTTCAGGTTAAAATATTTTCAATCCCTCCCACTTTTTACCTTTTTGTTATAAGCATCAGCACGATGTTTATTAGGGAGAACCAATGGAGGTGGTCTCTCAATGTCCGGTGAACCGAATACCTCCTCAAGATCTACCGAGTGTTGTTTTGGTGAGGAAACACGTGTCCCTTCTCTTGAACTAGATTGTATTTAATTAATGGGTTTTAATTCAAGAACAAGTATAATGTAGCAAATGTTCTCTATAATCATTAATACCTTTAATGTTTTTTTCTCCTTTTCGAAAAGGAAATTAAGAGAAAGGTAGATAAATACCGTTCGCTTCCAGAACCAAATAGCTCTTGGGTGTCAAGGTGCAAGTCGCCTTCGTCTGCTGAAGAACCATTATTTGAGCCAAATAGTTCTTCGTAATCAGGGTTTCGAGTTTTCGGTTTAGTTTCAGGTTGCTTTTTATTAAATGAAAAGTTGTGGCTGTTATAAAGTATGCTCTTTATGCATATAGGCCAGAAATAATTACTTTTTCTTCTTCTTCTTCAACTGGGGATGCCTCAATGTCTGAGTCGTCTAAGGGCGCGATGGTAGTGGGAAGTTGCGTTTCGTCTTCAGATTCAGACATTTTTTTTCTTAAGGTGCAAAACAAGAAATATCTGGGACGCTATTTTCAAGTTAAGTATTAACCAAAGATAAAATATTTTCTAAAGTAAAAAAATCTGATTCTTTAAATGTGAATGATCGATCCCTTCAGACAAGAGGGCATGCCTAAAAACTCTATGTTTAACATTGTAACACAAATAAATAAAATTATGTCAAAAATTATATATTCTTCTTTAATACACAGTGAAAGTTGATATAACGGATCCCGCTAATTTTATATAACGTTTTTATATTATATTGAATTGATTATTTTAATATTATATGAATGTTCTAATTCTCCATGATTAGATACTATTTTCCAGAAAAGGTTGGTATCAAAAAATAGGGTAGCATCTACAGTAAATCGTCAAGTACCAAATTGCAGATCATCCAAATGCCTTCCGTTAATCTTCACACGGACTCAAAAAAAAAATTTTCACGATGTACTAAATATTTGAACAGAGTCACAAGATTTTTGATAATCCAAAGATAGAGGAAAATATCACAAGACGAGCAAATCAATGAGATTTTTTTTACCTCAATAGAACAGGATTCACTAAGGATCTATGTAGGACAAATAATGACATCAATCGACGACGTAGAAAAAAAAATATCTCTCTTCTGGCGTTTCGCTAACTTGGTAGTTTTTGTGTTAGTTGTTCTTGGCCTTTCTCTTTTTTTCCCATGAGCGTCAACAGTGAATTCTCGAACTAAATTTTTCTTTTTCATTTTCAGGGAGTTTGAGTTTGCCTATGTTTGCTCAGTATAATTTAATTAATACGAAGCACAGAGGTCTTTAAAATAATAATGTATTGTAAACAAATGTTATCGCGGGTGTCCACGGGCTCTAAGGTAATTTAGCAACCTCAAACTAGCTCCACTGATATGGGTACATTCTTTTAATTTTCAATATTAATTACTATATATATTTTTCGATTACTATTTGATTTCAGACTACTTTGACCCAATGGGCCCGGACACAAAAATCCGTTCGTGGATACGCACAAGTTATTTCGGCGACTGCTAGTTACGGAAACAAGAAAGTGCCAATGTCAAATCTGGAAAAAGATAAATACATCAATTATCAACGGATTGAAGATAACTTGGCTATAGTGAAAAAGAGGTGGGATATTGTGATTTTTGTATGACTGTTGATTAAGTTATTTTATGTCTATGTTACAAAATATAGCAGCGTAAAAATTCTTTTTAGGTGGAATCTATATATTCCACAATTTATCCCTCAATTATATGTGTTAATCATGATAATGGCAATGGTGACTTTATATACGTGTATTGTGAGAAATAAAGAATCAATGCGCCGAATAAAGAAAGAAGAAAGAAAAAATAAGATTCTAATAATATCTTTAGACTAGGGCGGCCATTGACATTATCCGAAAAAATACTCTATGGACACTTGGACGATCCTGTGAACCAAGAAATAATTCGCGGTAAATCGTATTTGAATCTCCGGCCTGATCGTGTTGCATGTCAAGACGCGACCGCCCAAATGGTGCTTCTGCAGTTTATATCTGCTGGTATACCAGGTGTCGCCGTGCCTACAACTGTTCACTGTGATCACTTGATTGAAGCGCAAGTTGGTGGCGAAAAAGATTTAGCAAAAGCTATAGAGGTCAATAAGGAAGTTTATGATTTTTTGAAGACTAGTTCGGCAAAATATGATATTGGGTTTTGGGGACCTGGGTCTGGCATTATTCATCAAATTATCTTGGAAAACTATGCGTTCCCCGGTGGTCTTATGATTGGTACCGATTCGCATACGCCGAATGCCGGTGGATTGGGCATGGTGGCGGTTGGTGTTGGCGGTGCTGATGCTGTTGATGTTATGGCGAATATTCCATGGGAATTGAAATGCCCTAATGTGATTGGTGTTAAACTAACTGGCGATTTGAGTGGCTGGACTGCATCAAAAGGTAGACCAAAAAAATTGATTGTACTCTGCATCAGAAGCAGAAAAGTTGGGTTTGATTTTAATCATCGAATTTTTTTGGATAGATGTGATTCTCAAAGTAGCCGGTATTCTAACGGTAAAGGGAGGCACCGGTGCCATTGTTGAGTACTTTGGACCTGGTGTCGAGTCTTTATCGTGTACTGGTATGGCTACAATTTGCAATATGGGTGCCGAGATTGGCGCTACAACTTCACTATTTCCTTTCAATAGACGCATGGGTGATTTTCTTCGTGCTACTAAACGAGGAGAAATTGCTGCATATGCTGAGAGTTTTGCACATAACTTACGTGCCGACGAAGGGGCGCAATACGACCAAATCATAGAGATTAACTTGTCAGAATTAGAACCGCATGTTAACGGTCCATTTACACCCGATCTCGCAACTCCATTAAGTAAACTCAAGGATGCAGTCGAAAAGAATAACTGGCCACCGGAAATAAAGGTGGGCTTGATTGGTTCATGTACTAATTCATCATATGAAGATATGAGCCGGTCTGCTTTCATTGCCAAAGAAGCTCATGAACATGGATTGAAAGCGAAATCAACGTTCACAATCACACCCGGTTCTGAACAAATTCGTGCGACAATCGAGCGCGATGGTCAAGAGGAAATTCTAAAGAGTGTCGGCGGTCTTGTTTTAGCTAACGCATGTGGTCCCTGTATTGGACAATGGAATCGTCAAGATGTGAAAAAAGGAGAAAAAAATACAATCGTCACATCCTATAATCGTAACTTCACTGGCCGTAACGATGCAAATCCCGCCACTCATGCTTTCGTCACATCACCCGATCTTGTTACAGCGTTGGTTTTCGCGGGTGATCTTCGTTTCAATCCAATGACTGATACACTTACCGGCGCTGACGGCAAACCTTTTAAATTTTCCGAACCTAATGGGGCAGAACTGCCGTCACGTGGCTATGATCCCGGCAAAGACACTTATCAGGCACCACCAGAAGATCGCTCGAAAGTAAACGTGGTCATCGATCCGAAAAGTAGTCGACTTCAATTTCTACAACCTTTCAAAAAATGGGATGGAAAAGATGCTGAAGAAATGCCAATTTTGATAAAGGTTAAAGGAAAGTGTACGACAGATCACATTTCTATGGCTGGCCCCTGGCTTAAATTCCGTGGTCATTTGGATAATATATCAAATAATATGTTAATTGGCGCTGTTAATGCCGAGAATAATGCTGTTAATAAAGTTAGGAACATGTTCACTAATGAATACGATGCCGTGCCGTCCGTTGCTCGACAGTACAAAGCAAAAGGTGACAATTATCACTGTTTATTTCATTTTCATTTAGCATGTTTATAACTTACTAATTATATACATGATAATTCTTTTATTTATAGGAATTGGTTGGGTGGTCATCGGAGACGATAATTACGGTGAAGGTTCCTCTCGTGAACATGCAGCACTCGAAGTACGCCATTTAGGAGGCGTTGCCGTTATAGTAAAATCATTTGCACGTATCCACGAGACTAATCTCAAAAAACAAGGTCTTTTGCCACTCACCTTTGTCAATCCATCCGACTATGATAAGGTCGACCCCTCCGATAAGGTTTCCATAATCGGCCTGAAAACCTTCGCTCCCGGAAAAACATTAACTATGCGGCTTCAAAAAGCGAATGGTGCAACAGTGGATATTCCTCTAAATCATTCTTTCAATCAAAATCAAATTGAATGGTTCAAGGCAGGCTCAGCTTTGAATCGTATGGCTCAAAAATAATGACGATTTGATGATTTGGTTCCCTTTAAAATTCTTATTAGTTTGCGAACGTATATGTATGTATGTCTAATTTATTTTGTATGCGGTAGTAGTAATAGTAGAAAATTTCTAGATTATTTTTGTTATACATCATTTATATTACACATCATTTTGCAAAAGTAATTATTGAAATTGATTGTAGAAAAAAAAACAATGAATCAAAAATCTAAAAAAATAATATTTGTTATTATACACATATATTAAATGTAAGCGTGAGAGAAAGAAATAACAGCGAAAAGATAAAAAAGATACGCATGAAGAGACGTGTATTGAAAAAAAAATGAATCAATATCGAATTACTGATGCTTAAATATACATGTCAGAATCGTGTGTGTATACGCTATCAGATAGAAAGGGTAGAGGGATTGTGTTGTCAATGAGGATTGTGATGACAATTGATGATGACTAATAATAGTAATAGAATTTATATAAAGAATATTATACCAACAATCATTTAATCACCAGCGCCTGGCATATCCATTCCGGAAGATGGTAAGTCAGGACCGCCGACGCCCCCGTTACCATTGTTCCCTCCACCAATAGTAGTCCCACTTGCCTGCCGCTTCGCTTTTTTTGCCCATCGAAGGCCGCATGCATTACATAACCTACATAAAAGAGAGCAAGCAAATCAAGCGTAATTTTGATAGAACGGCAAACGGGGACGACATGATTATTCTTCATTGAAGCTGCAGTAACTGAATGACTCACGTTTTGGGACCTAGTGGACCTTTACGCCATTCAGGCGATTCTACAGTTCCACAATCCGTACAAACATATTCTTCTTCTTCGACCTTGGGTTTTTTCGGCTTTTAATACAAAAAATGATAATGATGATGATGATGTTCGATAAAACGACCGATTAATAAAATAATTGATCAATAATTAATTAATTAAAGTAGTCAAAGATGAATTAAATTGACAATAAATAATTATGGTAACCTTTCTTCTTTGTTTTGGAGTAGGAGCAGAAGTGGATGCTTGGGAAGCAGGTTCATTGCCAGAAGGTCTTGGCTCAGCTGTTCCACTAATACCAACTCCTCCTCCTACTACTATGCTTTTGTCGTCTCTCAACGAGGTAGATGAGGTGGTAATGGTAGTGGTCGCTGTCATAGCTACCGGTATAGAGGTAGTAGCATTGGTAGTAGATGTAATATCTACATCCATCAAATTTTCGTTCAGTAAACAAGGGTCACTTGATCCCGTGGAAATTCCCCTCGCGCGCTCACCCTCCTGATATCGTAAGCCGGTCAATAATTCCAGCGGATTACTTGTTTCATTTGTGACATCAACTGTCCGCTCAACCATTCCACTGCCGATCGTCGCGGCAGTAGAGGTACTTGCTTCGACCGATTGAGGCTCCGGGGGACCCATCAGATCACGAAGTTGACGTCTCAGATTCTCATTTTCCACTTTCAGTTCTAGAAAGGAATCAAGCATCGCAGTCGTTTTTGAGGGATATACTCTACCCATGCTGAAAAAACAACGACATGTGCTATTTATGGTGGGGTTGTTATCACCAAAGTATGGATGGCCATTCACCTCCAGAATAATAAACTTGTCATCTTTTTTACGGAAACGATAGTACAGAGTGAAACTGCTCTTTTGATTAATTGCCATATTAAAATCACGAACAAACATGTCAACATCATCAACATGAATGAAATCTTTAATGCTTCGACCAACTAATTCTTCGGGTGAATAGCCAACCAGCTCTTGTGACGAAGGAGAACAATACATTAACTTTCCGGTGGGTGAGATTACGTGCAAAAAATCTTTAAGTTCTTCGATGATTCGTTGTGACCAGTTTTTTCGTTTTGTGAATTCTGTTAAATTATTTCCGGTATTAGTAGTAGTAGTGAAGGTGGTAGCACTACCACCAGCTCCGATAGTACTTTGAACAACCCCACCACTGATACTTGCTACAGCTTCTCTTCCACTCAAAAACGCGCTGCGTGCTGGATCCAATGAAAAACTTTCGCCTAAGGTTTTCTGATCCATCAGTAATCTGTTGAGTTCCGTGTGATTTGGGTTGTTGAAGGAGCCCATTGTGTTTTTATTATTTTTGTGTTTGTATATAAGAAACGGTGTGGTTGTTGGTTTGTTGATATTGTGTGTCAAAAGTAGTTAGCGTGAAAGGTTTCAAAAAAAGACCTTATTTTGGAAACTATGTGCCAACAGAAGAATCAAACCAAACGTACTCGACTCCCAAAAAGAGTTTAATTGTTAAGTTTTTGGGTAGTCTTCAGCGTTATTGGTCTTTTCGTTTTTAGTGATGTTCATTGAAGATCAGTCGGTATCGGTATTACGTAGTATTGATTTTTCATTCTCAACAAATCTCACTTTTTCCAAATGGCACAATTACAACCACTCGAGCCTACATTAGCTCAACTCCCACATTTATCCAATGAAAACCTGATACAAGAAAAGAATCGACTACAGAACTCAATTTTTCATTTACAACGATCAAATCGAGAAATGATTCCGTTTTCCAGGGAAGACCCTGACTTGCTATTAGCAATTCAGGAGAACGGTTCTATAATCCTAAGGCAATAAAAAAGCATTCTCCGTCTCATTTCCGACCAAAGAAAAAGCTAACATTCATTTAATGCTCATAATTACCAGATATGAAGAGAAAGTCGAGAGAATACAGGCGATCTTACGCAGCAGGCAAAATTCTTTGAATTCTAATAATTCACATTATAATGAATCAACGACAACAACTACTGATACTACTACTGCTACTACTGCTACTACTGCTACTACTGCTGCTACTACTACTACTACTACTACAGTTGATAATGATCTATTGTCGACATCGAGTTCAATGCCATTCCCGTACACAAATAATGATATACGGGATACTTTGGTAGAAGTCAATCGCGACGATGGTACTACAACGTCATCAACAACAATGTCGATTCCTTCTACCATTGCCACTATTAATACTTCATTGAGTCGACAAGAAACACTGGATCTTAGGGAATTAGAGATGTTTGAATCAACGGAAGATGTCAATCCTATGAATAACTTAACAGAAAGTTCGTTTCGATTGGTCAACGGCATCCCCAATTCAAATGTTTCTTCTAATGTGCCTCATTCTTTTACAAATGGTACTTTGGATCCCTTACAAGGATCATCTTCTTTTATTGCTTCTCGTAATCTTCCTAATGGAATCGATCATGAGGAAGAAGAAACTGATGATGATGGCGTGTATCTTTGAATTAGTTTTTATTAATTTTAGACTTTTCATATGTGCAGTTCAATAAAAAAAGTTCCAGATTGCATATTTCACAAACACTAAACTAAATCTGGCATCTTCTAATCGTGTTTTTTTCCATAGTTTAACCAAATTTGTTATTTATAAAGTTTAAATACCGATACTTTCTTGTTTGCGCTCGGGACAATGCTATATATAATTGGTCTTGGATTAGCTGACGAGACAGATATAACACTTAAAGGTCTTGAAGCTATAAAATCGTGTGAACGCGTGTATCTTGAGGCTTATACTAGCATTCTTTTGGTTTCTAAAGAGAAATTGGTATTAATATTAAATTCCCTCGGCACTGAATTGGTACACTGATATTTTTTTAACATTTTTTTTGAAATATATGCATAAAGGAAGCTTTTTATGGACGAAATTTGATTTTGGCGGACCGAGAATTGGTAGAAACACAAAGCAACGAAATTCTGGCGGGTGCCAATACCGTAAATGTCGCATTTTTGGTAGTTGGGGATCCTTTTGGGTGAGTATATATTCAAACCATAATTCGATAAATACTATCATTCAATATACGAGTCATGCTTACACGAAATAATCACGATGCTAATAATGAACAAAGAGCAACAACACACACAGATCTTGTACTTCGTGCTCGAGAACTTAACATCCCGGTGACCACCATCCACAACGCCTCGATAATGAACTCGGTCGGTGCATGTGGACTGCAATTATACAATTTCGGACAGACGATTTCAATTCCATTTTTCACGGATTCATGGCGTCCCGATAGTTTTTATGACCGAATAAAGGAGAATCGAAGCTTGGGTCTACATACGCTTTGTTTATTAGGTGAGAGTGTCTTCTATATCATTAAGTAAGATTTATTCTTCGATTTTGATTAATTATTGTTCATTAATGAAAGATTGAGTTTTTAGTTGTTCCTAATATTTCTTATTTTGATGAGCAGATATTAAAGTCAAAGAGCAAAGTATAGAAAATCTGGCAAGGTAATTAATTTTTATGTTTCCCTTTTTTTTCCAATTCAAATCTAATTTTTTATATATAAACATACGAAAGAGGTCGTAAGGTATATGAGCCTCCAAAATATATGACGATCAATCAAGCAATCGAACAATTATTAGAAATCGAAGAAAATCGAAAAGAGAATGGTATGCGTATTTTCCAATTGATTACCAAATCATCATACCCACATGTATTTTGGGAGGCGATGTATGCGAAATTTCGTCTAACCCAATTTTTCATTCATCAAAGCATATACCAAAGACACGCTAGCATTAGGAATCGCACGTCTTGGCTCATCAACTCACCAAGTAATAAAGGCAGGACCCCTCGACCGATTACTCAATGAAGATTTCGGACCACCGCTACATTCATTGGTAATTGTTGGTAGTAGGATGCATGTACTCGAGGCCGATTATATGCGATATTTTGCAATAGTGGTCCAAGAGTTTGATGAAATTGTGAAGCGTGATTTTATCAAGAGTTGAATGTTGTCAACTTTGACAGTCAGAAATTGATGACGTTAATGATATCTGGTGTAGTTGATATACAAGAAAAAGATTATATCATGTATGCATGCATGCAGATATGCATTTTATCTTCTTTTCATCGTCAAAAGTTGGGATCATGTGATTCCGACAAAATACTGATACAGTCAGACCTCTTTATAGTCACCTTCACAAATTAATATAGTCATTTTTCAACAGTTATAAAACATAAGAAATTAATCTTTACATAATCACAATCTCTCTATAGTTACAGTTTTTCATATTTTTAAGACATAATTATATAGAGATTTATGTATATAAATCTTGTCAATTCAGATTAAAGAATTTTGAGAAAATTTATTAATGATTTACAAGAAATCTTAGTATTAAAATTTTTTATATATCTTATATCTTAAGTAATAATAAATAAATTAATTTTTTTTATCATTTATATTATTTATTTGATAAAAATATATCTTTACTTGATTTTTCAATATTTCATATTATTATAATTAAAATTTTTATTTATTATTTTATTATTTTATTTAATTATGATCTGATACAAAGTGATTTGTATATCAATATAAGTCACAAAATTCTTTATAATATCAAAATTATATGCATCTAATAATCTTATTTTCATATGAATTAAAAATAATTATGATCTTATTTTTTAGCTTAAAACTAATTTTTTTAATGAATATTTTCTTAAATTACAAGTTTATTTTAATAAAGTTTTATTATTTTTTATGATTTTTCTTTTTACTTTTTTAATTTATATCATATAAGTTTATAAATAATAACTTAATTATTATTTTTTTATATTATATTTATAATTAATATATTTTAATTCTCTTCTATTTTTATGATTATCTTATATATTATTTTTATAATTATTTTACTTGATATATTTATTTTATCTGATATATCTTTTTTCTCTTCTTTAAGATATAAATATTTAAAAAATTTTTTATAAAAGATATATAATAAAATTTTTATATTTAAATAACTCTAAATATTTAATAACTTAATTAAATAAAATAAAATTAAAATTTTATTTAAAAAAATAGATTTATTATTAATTTATAATTTTTAATATATAAATTATTTTATTAATTAAAATAAAACTATTTACATAATAATATTTAATTTATATTATTTTATTTAAAATATTACTAACTTATATTATTTTATTTGATATATTATAAATTCTTTATATTTTAAATTCAAATAATATTTTATATAAAAATTTTTTATAATCTTTATAAGATATTTTATTATATATAATTATAAATAAGAAAAGAATATTAATTTATTGGTAGTTCTAAATCTTAGAAATTTTATTTTAAAATATTTTTATTAAATAATAATCAAGTATTTAATTAAATTTTTTAACTTTTCTTGATTTTATAAATAATAAGTATAATTATAAATAAGTTTTATATTAAAGATATCATAAAGATATTACTGTAAATTCTAATAATAAGTAATTCTTTATATTATAATTTTTGAGATTAATTTTTAGAAAGATTACTTATTTTTGAATCTTTTAAATAAATATAAATATATTAATAACTAATAATTCATTTTATAGCTCATTAAATTTATCTTATTAAGATAATTATTTAATAATTTTTTTATTTGAATCTGATTATTAATTATCAAAATACTTTATTATTATATATTAAAAATTATTATTACAAATAGAGATTACTTATTTAATTTTTCTAAAACTTTTGAATCTGAAAAGAAAGAATTATTTATTTTAAAGAGTTACTTATTATTAAGATTTTATAATAATTATAAAAATATAGAGAATAAGTTAAAACTTATAAAAATTTATATTATTATATTATAAATTATATTATCTTCTTTATTTAAAAATAAAATAATCTAAATTAATAATAAAAATTATAATTAGTTATAACTCTATTATAATTCTTTGATTAACTATCACAACTTTATTATAATTCTTTAATTAGTTATCACAAGTTGCAACTAATTAAAAAGTTATTTTTAATATAAAAATATATTAATTATCATTAAAATATAATTATATCTATTATTATATTTAATAAAAAAGAAAAAATTAATTAAGTTAATTTAAATATATTTGAGAAAGCTATTAATTATAATAGATATTAGATTAGCTTTTTTTTGATATTAGTATTTCAGATATAAATTAGATAATTTCTCATATATTATTTAATTTTATCTTATATATATTAATATATTATTTATAAATTATTATATATATTTAATAATAATTAAAATAAATAATTTTAATATGAAATCTTTCAAAAAGATTATTCTTTAATTCTATATTATAAACTAAAATAACTCTTTTTATGATAAGTTAGAAAATTATATTTTTTGACTATTAAATATAATAATTTTGATTGGATTATCTTTCTTTTAGATCCTTTTAGTTTAGATCTTCATTTTGCATTATCTATATAACAGATTAGCTTTGTATTACATTTTTAAAAAGATCAATTTCACTCTGGATACACAAATGATTATTATGTATTTAATACATCTAGATTTAGCATATTGTTATTCAAATGATTATTATGTGTATCTATATTATTAATTTAGATAATTAATATTTTTAATTAGATATTTTTTTTAATAATTTTTTATTTTCTTACTTATTATTTATTATTATTATTTATATTATTATTTATATTATTTATAATTATTAGATTATAATTAGTTATTCTTCAAAAATACAAATTAAGTTAATTAATTTTATTCAATCTATATGTATTTTAAATTAGAAATTTATAGTAATTTATTCATATTTTTGTATTTATTTCTTTTTTTATAAATAAGATCTCTTTATTCTGTATTTTTATCTCAGATCTGAATACTTTTAAATAATAAAAATAATCATAAGTTATAAAATTAAAACTATTTATATTATATTTTATCTTGTTTATAACTATTAATAAAATAATCTTACAACTTGATAATAGTAGACACAGTTATTATAAACATCACTCTCTAATACCTTACATATTACATATCACACACTTCACATATATATCTTAGTTTTATTTATTAAAAATTAGTAAAGATAAATTCAGAATAATTCATACAATTCATGATAAGTATAACTGAATTAATCAAGATAATAAAAAAGATGATCCTTTTGATCCTAAGCCTTCATCTTGTCTCTCAGTTAAACTACCTACTTACTTAGAAGAATCAAATAAAAATGTATTTGTTTGAATTATGCAAACTAAAACTATATTCCTAACTCAAAAAATTACAGATAAAAAGACATAAGTATAATATGCTACCATCTTCTTTATTGATATAGCATTATACTGATATCTCAATAAATACAAGACTGATAATTATGTAACTTCTTTTAATAATTAGGATAATTTTGTTATAGTACTTAAAGAAGTATTTTAATCATTATATTATCAGTAATATCTTTGTAAATAACTTTATCTTCTTTATTAAACAGAATCTGTACAAAACTATAGTACTAAATTTAAAAATATAATTAAATAAGTCACAGATATGAGTAACTTAAATCAAGTTACATACTTTATAAAAGATTTGAAACTTATTATCAAAATAGAAGTTAGTTATCAGATACTAGAAATATTAAAAGATGCTTGAAAGTTAGTTATTTACTATAACATAGTAATATATAGATAAGACAGATCTCTAGATCTATCAAGCAGAAATAATAATAGTTATCACCCACAAAATCTATACAAAAGTTATCAAAATAATGGTCCTATATCTATGGAATTAGATCAAGCAGAGAGTCATTATAATAATAGAAAGAATAATAATAATCAAAAGAATAATAAAATCAAAGATACATGTTATAACTGTGATAAATCAGATCATTTTATCAAAAATTATTATTCCAAACCAAAAATAAAAATAATAAATATTAAAGATAAGCAAGAAAAATCTTCATAATCTTATGAAAGAATTGAATTTACTTATTTTGAAAATAATAGAAAAAGATTGTTAAAATTCAATGATCAAGTAAATGGCAAGCTAGCATGAATTTTACTAAATAGTAATATATCAAGAAACTTTTTTGATAAAAAATTTATATAAAAGAATAAAATAAAGTTACAAAAGATAATATCAATAATAGTTGAACTTGCTAATAGCAAGAAGATTACAACTATCATTATGATAAAGATTGATAAATTGAAGTTAGATATATATAGAATATACAAGATAGATACACAAGTTTTAAAATTATAAAAATATAATCTTATCCTAGATAAATCTTGATTATTTCATATTAATCTTATCATAAATTGTGACAAATTAAAATAAAATCAGATTAAAATGAAATTTTCTCTATTTTAATATGAAAATTTCATATTTTTTTGGAGATAATTTTCTAGATTTTTTTTGGAATTTGATTAGGATTTAGAGTAACTTTTGTTAATAGAAGAGTATATATAGATTTCAGAGATATTAAAAGAGTATTCAAAAAGATTCTAATTTCATTTTAACCCAATTTTATTTTAATCTGTCACATAAATTAGAAAAATAATATCATAATCTTTATCTATGATTCAAAGACTATTAAAGTACAAGTTAATAATGAAATAAAGTTAGGCTTCAGCTGCAATTCAATCTATATTTCCAGATAATAAATTGCTAATCTACTAGCAAATGCAGAACTCTTCATCATACATCTTAATAATGCTGAAGATAAAAAAAGATGCTAAAGAAAAGTTACTTTTATTAGAAGTATTAGATATCAAGAAAAGATATAAAGATATATTTTCAGAAATCTTACCAAATCAGCTATTACCTAAAAGAGTAATTAATCATAAAATTAATCTTATCTCAGGATCTGAATCACTATCCAAATCTATCTATAGACTTTCTTTCACAAAGATGGATAAGTTCAAGAAATAATTAGCTAATTTAATATATTTATCCAAGTATTTTACCATTTGAAGTACCAGTTCTTTTTGTATATAAAAAAAAATATATATTAAGAT